ACATACAGATAAAAATATCTGGAAGGATGCATACCAAAATACTAAGGTATGAAGATCAACAAATAAAACCTGAAAAAAAAAATCACCAATTTTTTTCCTTTTTATTACTCATCTGTATATCTCAAGTGTCTGTAACAAAAACTTACTACTTTTGTAACAGTTTGTCTCATTTTTATTCTCTTTTTCAGAAAATGTACTTTAAAAGCATAGAAAAGGTGATTGGAACTTTGGGATTCCTATCCAGGGTTACCCAAAAGTCAAACTGTATTCCAATCAAGAGCAGATTAAATATGAAAAGCAAAATGGTAGGCTCCCTTACACAGCAACTCTTGCTTCATTTCTGGTTACTTCTACCTACACAGAGAATTGTTCAAGGAAGATGTTTACCATCCCATATGTAGTCGAGATAATTTGGGCCATAAAGTCACAATTTTCCATACCCGCACAATGATTTTTTTTATGAGACCAGACACCTGAACAAAATCTTTGGGAATGCAGGATATGGCAGGCAGTAGAAAGGAAATTGACACCAACTTTCCTAAGATTCCCCAAAGTAAGAAAGCATCTCTTTCCCCTATATTGACTCCAGGTTACACACTGGAAAATAGCGGCAAGTGAGGAAGGCCAAGCGTAGACACAAAAACCAGAACATGGCCATGGACTGTGAGGTAGCCAGGCTGGCAGGTGTAGGACTGAAATGGCTGCATGCCACAGCAGTAAAATGCCTGTGACATCCACACACCTACAATCAGTTTGGCGGTGTTTCCAACCCAGGCTGAGGGATTTCATTTTCCCCATATTAGGCAGTGACAAAGATTTAGATGGACCAAACATTTTATATTACTGTCAACAGCACTAACGTAGGTTCAGCTGGCAGAAGAGAGGGAAACCAAGAGTGTCTGCATTATTTACTCCAAAGAAACGAGCTGAGCACCATCTGCTGTCAGCCACCACCACCATCACCACCACCCAGTGCAGCTCTTTCTGTACCACACCCTCACCCCACTTCTGTGAGCTCCCTCAATCTCGGCCCAAGGACCTGAAATCCCAGTGTTGCCCTAAATATACGTTTAGAAAGTTACTTACAACAGAGCAGTTGGTAACACAGAAGATCTCTTAAATGCTGCAAAGTGTTGTCTACTCGTGTCCAGCTGCAAAAATTATCTACTCTTCCAACCTTCCTTCTAAGATTAAATGCAATGCTACAGTGCTTCGCCTACATAACGTGGGGGGATGGGGGTGGCCAGACCATGCAGTGTGGAAAACCAATATTCTCACACTAGTGTCTATAAACTGGTTCAAGGTCATAAAAGTAGAACAGGAAAACCTACTGAATTAGTAATAGGAAATAGGTTGCATGAGCAAAGACAAGTTTCCAAAATACCCACAAACCACACGTGGTATCTGTGTCTAGCCGATTTTTTTCATGGCCTTTCAGGAAATGAACTATCCCACTCTGAGAAACCAGAAGAACAGCATTAGTAAGTCAGTCAAGACCAAAGCCAAATCCAATAGTGATAATAGTACTACATTTGATCTCTATGGACTGTAGAGGAGAATATAAAAATGAGACCCCTCAAGAGCTTTTCATTAAAAACCAAAAGCCATTTACACAGAAGCAGTTCAAATTTTATTTATAAATTTGTTTAAAAGCATATAAAAGATTTATTTTTTTCTTTTGCTCACATTTGTGCCCTGAATTAAGAAAGCAGGGATTCAAATCTAAAGGTGCCAAAGCTTCCCCAAACCTGATCTGAGAATTAGATAAGAATTAGCTGTTTAGAGAGACAGGCATGCAGCACCCACAGCTCTCACTAACCTGAAAGCATCAAATGATTCCCTCCTTTTCTATCTTACTAACACGTCTATAATTATACTTCCAATACGAGGTGAAACCAATTAGAAAAATAATGCAGCATTTCACTGGCAGTAGAGATTAAATATGAGTTCAGTAATCAGCTCCTACAAACATGCATAAATAATGACAGGGAGAAACCAGTCATCCCCAGCTGCTCAGCTGAGTGGGTGGGCAGTTGAAGGCAAGGTAAAAACAGGCTGAACAAAACTGCAAGAAGGAAAAACATCTCGTGTGGTTTTTCAAGGTCAGTTGACAAAGGCCAGTTGTAAGCAAAATATTTCTCATATATCCTGGAAGAAAAAGAAAACAAAAATTAGTACCAGCAACAAAATTCAAAGCCTTTGTAAATCCAAAATGAAGTTCCTCCAAAAAAACACTCTACCTGACTATTTTTTTAATGATTTCAAGTCCCAGTGAAGTGATTTAATTTTCAAGTTCCATTTTGAGTCACAAAATGGTCTCTGTCAACAATGTAATGGCTTATTGAACGACAGCTCATCAGCTGTGTTCTGAGATAGGCTAACACGGGTCACAACTAATAGTGTTCACAAATATTGTCACCCGCCTCCATAGTTACAGCAAGGACAGGGCAAATATAGTATGGAGCAGAGCAATTTAAATGGAACTGTATGGAGTAGAGGTGCACTGTATTATACAGCAGGAAGGTGACTTCTAAGGGGACGTTGAGGAAAGGAGATAGACTTAAATGAGTCCCCTTCCCCCACTATGTGCAAACAGTCATGACATCTCCATCAGGCCTCCCAGACTGCTAGGCCAAGGTACACCTGGGATTCAGACTATTGGTGCTCTAACATTCTGGGAAACTAAAATTTCAGGTTGCCTCATGGGTCATGGCAAATGCTTAACTGCCTTTGAAGACACTGGATTCAGTGTTGCCACAGCATCTCAAAGGGTCTCACCTACTGGTATCAGAGAAGGGATCGTTTGAAGTGATTCTTTAAACATCCTACCCTAGATGCATCATGAAAAGTAATAAAGGACTCTAGAAGACCCAAAAAAAATTTTTAATATAAAAGCAATTTTAAATTATCAAAGAATATGGTACTATGGAGAACAGTATAGAGCATCTTTAAAAAACTAAAAATAGAATTACATATGATCCAGCAATCCCACTCCTGGGCATATATCCGGAGAAAACTATAATTTGAAAAGATTCATGCACCCCAGTGTTCACTGCAGCACTATTTACAATAGCCAAGACATGGAAGCAACATAAATGTCCATCGACAGAAAAATGGATAAAGAAGATGTGGTACATATATACAATGGAATATTACTCAGCCATAAAAAAGAATGAAATAATGCCATTTGCAGCAACATGGATGGACCTAGAGATTATCATGCTAAGTGAAGTAAGTCAGACAAAGACAAATATCATATGATATCACTCATATATGGAATCTAATTTTTTAAAAATGATACAAATGAACTTACTTACAAGACAGAAGCCGACTTACAGATACCTAAAACAAATGTATGGTTACCAGAGGGAGGGAAAGGGATGAATCAGGAGCATGGGATTAACACACACTATTATATATAAGATAGATAACCAACAAGGACCTACTGTATAACACAGGGAACTCTACTCAATATTCTGTGATAATCTATATGAGAAAAGAATCTGAATAAGAATGAATACATGTATGAGTATAACTGAATCATTTTGCCGTACACCTGAAACTAACACAACGTTGTAAATCAACTATACTCCAATAAAATTTTTAAAAAATAAAAATTATAAATAATCAAATAACAAATATGTATTAAGTAACCTGAGAAGAATGTGATTTAAATTAGAAAAAGCTTTAAAAATAAAGATCGGTCTAATTTTTCTACCCAAAATATGCTGATCAAAGGCCTACTACTTAAGTGTCCATATGATGTTTCAAGAAACAAGTTTTTCTTTGGCTTTCATCATAGTTTTATCATATTTTCTGCCTTCCTCCATTCTTTCTCTGTCTTTGGCTTTTTACTGATTCCAGCACATCCTCCAAGCCCCACCTGTGAGCTCTCCTCTCTGATTCCTTGTAGGAGCTTAATTGTCATCTACCAACTTCTAAACAAATGCCACATTCTAAATATATTCTGTATACTAACCTCTTGTCCACTTGTTATTTATAAAACATATCCACACTAAAACTTTAGTTTATAACTTTTCTTATTTTTGTATGGTGTCCTTTGATGAACAGATGTTTTATTTTAATGTATATTTATCATTTCTTTTTAGTTTATACCTTGGGTCTTATGAAATCCTCCCTAGCTCAATTTTATAAATAGTCTATTTTCTTCTAGAATTTAAAAAGTCTTCCTTTCTATTTATAAGCTTTACTCTACCTGGAATTGATTTTTTTAATGATTTCATGTGGGTACTCAATTGTCCCAACAGCATTTGTTGAAGAGAGTCCATTTTCCCCTTATGATGGGCTCTACCTTTTGTCATACAACAAAATTCTAGAAATAGTTGGGTCTGCCTGTGCCAATTCTATACCATATTAAATATTTTATTAAGTCCCATATGTACTTCTATATTTTTAGGAGTGAATTGGCTATCCTTGGTTCTTTGCTCTGATTAGAATTTAACTAAATCAACGGATTATTTGAGAGCTCATTCATATCCATTAACAAGGTGAAACACCATTTATTTATTCCTTAATGTCTTTCTATAAAATTGTATATGTATTTTAAAGGTAATATACATCTTTGGTTTTACCTTTTTATTAGGTTTTTTTGTTGATTCTCTACGCGTAGAGACAAACTTAGTTCTTATATATTGATCCTCTATCTACCAACATGGCTAGGCCCTTGTTTATTCTAATAATTTTAATATAAATTCTTTTGGATTTTCTCAGTAGATAATTGTATCATCTGTGATTTATAAATGTTTTCCTTTTCAATGCTTATATCTGATTCAAAAGAAAAGCTTTTGATGTGTTTTTATTATAGAACTTTGATCCCTGTATTAGCTAAAGAAATTTCTTTTCTATTCCTAGTTTGCTAGAAGTTTTTACTGCAAATGAGTATTGAAACTTATCAAGTGCTTTCTCTGTATCTATTGAGATGATCATATGGTGTTTCTCCTATAATTTATGAGGTAAATTATCTTGGAGATTTTTGGGGGTTTGTTTATTTGTGATAAGCCAAGTTTGTATTTCTGGGATGAATATAATTTGATAAGGATATACTATGCTTTTTTTAAGAAATTCATTATTGAATCTTAAAATTTTGTTGTAATTTTTTTAATCTATGTTTATGAGTGAGACTGGCTATAACTTATTTTCTATATAGTCTTTGATTTTGATTCATAGTTACATTCACCTGCTTAATCCTTTGGAAGAATACTCCCTCCTTTTCATTTATCTGGAAAACATTCCAGACATTTGGAATAATCTGCTTCTTGAACATTTAGTAAAACTTTTCTGTGATATGTGTAGGCCTGGTTTTTATTTTATGGGAAGACAGTAACTAATCTAGATATGGTTTAAATCATTTTGAATTCCCACCGCCAAAGTGTGAAAGAGACTGTTTCCCCCATCTTGCCAACAGAGTATGTTGTCAGTCTCTTGTGCTTTGCCAAATAATAGATGAAAAATGATATTTTGGTTTAATTCTTAATTTGTATTCTTTTTGTTATAAATTCATTGGGTGCTTTAATTTCAAAGATTGTATTTTTTTATTCCTAGAAGTTCTGTTTTGCTCTCTTTGAAATCTTCCTGGTTGTCTGTATCTCTTGTTTTTGCTTATCATTTCAAATCCAATATTTATTCCATCAAATGTTTTATACATAGTTATTTTAAATTCAGTATCTAATCATTTTATTATTACACATCATTTGGTTCCAAATCTCTGTCATTTTGGTGACCTCAGCCACAACCACATGTTTCCCTGTGCTTGTGGTAAGTTCCAGTCACTGTGTTATGCTTGGGATATATCAGTGAACAAAACAGTCAAAGGGCCCTGCTCTGATGGAAGATGGAACATAAATTACCACAGGGAGAGAATAAGAGTAATTAGTCAACAAAACATCTAAGAAAATGATGTTAGAAAATTAGGTTAGAAGTTGCAGAGTGCTACTGAATAAAGAAATGGAGACTGCAAAGAGAATGACAAGAGCCTGGGGTAAGGGCACAGGTGGCAGCATTAAATGAATGGCCAAGGAATGCTTGGAACTCAAGAAAATACTTGAAAGAGAACAAATCATTTGGACACTTTGGAGAAGAGTACAGAGGGAGCAGCCAGTTCTTAAGTTTTCAAAGAACAGCCAGAAAGCTGGCATGGCTGGGAGGAATGAGGAAGAAGGGCAGTAGGAGGAGAGTGCCAGAGGAGTAGAGTGGGGTCTAGATCATGGAGCCCCTGTAAGGGTTAGTAAATAGAAATCCTTTGGCTTTTACTCTAAGGACTTTGGCTTTTACTCCAAACATTTGGAGAGTTATCAGAGCCATTGGAGGGCTTTGAGCAGAGGAGTGACAGGGTCTGACTTATTTTTCAGTTTCATATTGAGAACAGACTCTAGGTGGGTAAGTGTGGAAGCAAGGAAACCATCGAGGAGACTATTTCAAGAATTGAGATGAGCAGTGATAGAGGTTGGGATCTATTTTGAAGGAAGAGTCAAGAAGACTTGATGATGGGTCAGCTGTGAGGATGTGAGAGATGGGTTGTACTGTTACTCAAGCAGGAAAAAGTGCAGATAGAGCATTGGGGTAAAGAGGATCAAAGGTGAAGTTTTAGACATATTAAGGTTGAAATGTCTATTAGACATGCAAGTAGGGATGTTGGGTAGACAAATGGATCTGCAAGTCTGGAGGAAGAGGTCTAGGCTGGAAATTGAAATTTGGGAGTACAGAGCATATTGGTATTTAATTTCATGAGAATGAATGAGGCCATGAAGGTATTAAATGAATGTAAAGAAGATGGTCCAAGGTGGATCCCTGAGGCACTCCAGTTAAGAGGACAGAAAGATACAGGGGATTCAGCAAAGGAGAACAGAAAGGAGTGGCCACTGAAATAGGTGGAAACCCAGGAGAGTACAGTGTCCCAGAAGCCAAGTAAAAAAGAGGTTCAAAGAGGAGGCAGTGATTCACCATGACAAATGATGCTGATCAGTCAAAAGATGAAAATTGAGAAATAACCATTTGATTTTGTAATGTAGACAATGTCAGGAGCCATGAGAAGAACACTGTGGTTAGACAGATATGGTCTAAATTCCGATTAGACTGGGTTTAAGAGAAAAGGGAGGAAAGAAATTGGAGACAGGATAGATACCCCAAAGTTTTTCTCTAAAGGGGAACAAAGAAACAGGACAGTAGCAAGAGGGAAAGGGGCTTCAATATATAATGTATATTTATTTAAGTTTTCTGCTGATGGGAATTTTCTAGTCAAGATGACAGCTGACAGTTCAGGAGAGAGAGAAGAACATTGTTAGAACAAAGTTCCCCAGTAGGTGGGGGAGATAGAATCTGGTCCATAAGGAAAAGCAGACATAGAGGAAGAGATGTGTGTAGGTAAGTGAGGTGGAGATGGGAGACTGAGCAAGTTCTTACCTTTGTGTCACTGCTTCTTTCACGCAAGGGAGAAGCCAGTATACACTTTGGACTTGGATATGCCTATCTTACTAAGGAATCTTCAATCATCCTCACTCACATCACATCGTAAGAAAGCAACGTTCCTCTCTTCTTATCTGTGAGGAACCTAAGTGGAGATTCACAGCTCACTTACCTAAGACCTACCAATAGTCAGTGGTGAGCCAGACTCCCATATCCTCATTCTCCTAACAGCAGCCCATGCAGTCTTCCTTTACTCTCTCCCATCATCTTCCCTTCAATCCCAGGTATTTTTCTATGTATATGTACCTTCTAAATTGGTGGTGGTGGTGGTGGAGGAATTATTAAGTAGAGGAGAAAATGTACAGCAAGTTTCCAAGTCCTGTCCAAAATCTGAGTTTCAATCACATTTCACAACTTATAAATTCTATAAACTTGGATAGTCTTAAATTCCCAATGCCCTATTTTCCACATGACTCTTACTCGTGTATTCTTATAAGTCAGTAATATGTCAATTTCACACAAGATGCAAAGATACTGTGTTTTGATTCCTTTTTCTCTCTTGTACATTGTCCCTATTCTGAATGCCATAGTGATACACATGAGCATACCTTATAAATAGACACATCCACTGTGCATTCTCTACAAATTTGTCTACACTTAATTATCTTCAATATATAGATACATTTTTGAAATCTATCCATAAATTTTAACCACTAGATGCATTCCAAGGAAACATGCATATAAGATTTCTAACAGATTGTCTTCTCAAAAATGATCTTTTGTCCATCAAGTATTTGTTAAGGGGTGATCTCCTCTAGAGTTTCCAGGTCAGCAAGCATTTGATTACTTTGTTGTATTTTACCAGTTTAAAGGTTTCTATCCATTCTGGTTTTTTTGAGTAGGTACATATACACTTGGGCTTCAATTAAATTGTAAAACCCACTGTAGTTAGTTTTGATTCTGTACACATTGCAAACCCCACAATCCCATACATTCCAAAGCTTTGGTGCTGTTTCAATAATATATTGTGCACACAAAACACATTACACACATATTACAACACAGTTGCAAGGTTTTCTTCACGGAAATCTGTAAGAACATTTCATTTTCAAAAAGTGCATTTTGCTGTAGGGGTTTCTAAAAATCATTTTGTAGTGAAAAATTAAATGCTGGTTTCTTTGACGTGCTAGTTTCACTGAAAGAATATATTACAAGAGAATGCTTACTATTTTTATAACCATATGTCACTGAAAATCTTCCTGAAAAAAAATGTTCATTTGTTTTTGTTTTAGGTCTGGGCAAAGGGTGATTTTTTAAAAAGCCTTGCAGTCCAGGCAATCACACAGCAAACAAAGGGCAGGTGTCATTTTTTATTGTGATTGGCATTGACTGGAGCTGAAATCAGGACCTTCTCCATCTCTCAGAAGCTATTGTGGAATTTACAGTAATCACCCTGGCTGACTGCCCATCACACAGCTGAATAGCACGCCAAAAAAAAATAGTATCTGGGAAGAAGGCCACAACATATTTTTAAAACTCTCATTGTTTTTATTCTTCAACTTTGAAAGATTTTTTTTAGAAAAAATAAAAATAAAACTCACCCAGCTGTTACCACTATTCATATTCCAATAGCCTCCAAAGTGCTGGAGGCCACCTGGTTGACTTTCACCTTGGAGTCGGTCCAGAAAAGCATTATTTACCCTTTAAAACAATGAAAAATGTGTGTAAGTGGAAAGCTTGCTGCAGGGCTGAGAGATTTCTGAGAACCTAATGTGCTGTCTGAACTGACTGTGGGGACTGCTGCCCCCATTCAGCTCAGAAGAAATCTACAGACACTTCTTTTCACATTAACCATATGACACGCTGTGAACAGTCCTTTGGTGGAGCCGGTGCCAGTCTTGGCTCAGACCAAAAGGGGCATAAATTCTTAACTTCAGAGTTTCACTTACCCACCTCTACCAGTTCCACAAGAGCCTTGGTCACCCAAGCAACCACACCCCTCAGGGCCATGCCAGGAGTGAACCCCAGAAGCTGAGGAAAGATGGAAGCTTCAGCAAGAGCTAAAACATAAAGAGAAACCAAACATAGCTCTGTGGTGTTGTTTTTACAAGACAGATGTCCCTCCCATATATCCTGTACCCCATTGCCAGTCTTGCTAAGGTAAATCCCATTAGTGAAAAGTAGAAGGAAAATAGGAAGAGAGTGTGGGAAAAGGGAAATATCAGAAGAAGGGAACCCAAGCTTTCAAAAGAAGGGAGGGGTACATTTTTCCCTGATGTTCGGTCATACTTGCAGCAACCAATTTCAGAAATTAAGTTTAACATATAGGAGGTAAAACGATAAAGAAAGGCAGGAAGTGATTATCATAAAGGTCAGGATAAGGCTACCTATAGGATGATGGTTGCATTCTATTCCTGGAGCTGGTTACCTGGATGTCCATTTTATAATTAATCATCCTAAATATTCATTTCATGGACTTTCTGTGTGTTATATCTTACACTTTTTGAAGTTAAAAAAGAAAAAGGCCACACCATGCTCTGAGTTGCCCATGTATGGCTGAGTAGAGTCAGGGACATGGTGGCTGGAGAAACAGCATTGTAACAGGTACCCTATGATGTGAACGGGTTATTGAGGAACAGTGTCATGAAGACCATAGGCTTCTCAGCAGAAAGAGTGCCTGGAACACAGCAACCACTCAATCCATGCTTGTGGAAGGGAGGCTAGGCAGGACCCAGTCAAGTTAGCCTCCTTTTTAGTCATGAAGTTTAGCGAATGTGGTCATGGTGGGTGGCTGTAGGTCTGCGACTGTGGGAGATTTGGGAACTTTGAGGATAATGACTGCTGAGTGGCAAAATCAGAGCCTGGGGGTTTGCCTAGCGGTCTTGCTCAGTGTGCCAGCTAAAATGCCAACTGCATGTTGACCCAGGTTAGTCTCTGGCTTATGGGGTTGCTGTTTTCTCCTCAACTCCAAGCCGCGTCTGGCAGTGGTCACATCTTAGTTATCAGAAGGCTTTTTTTAATCTCTCACCATAAAATCTACCCAGGTGCCATATTCTGGTCAGCCTGGTTCACTGCAGAACTGAATGTTTAAGTCACCTTTTCTAGACCTCTCAGCATGCAGGTCGAAATAAGATACTTGAGCTGGAGACTTGAATATTAAGGAAGACAGAACTGACCTTGATCCCCCTAAAACTACACAACCAATGGTATGCTGGATGGTCCATACGCCTGGGGCTGTTTTTATCCAGTCTTTTTGTCAGTAACAAAGATGGGCTTTCCCTCAGTATCCCCCATCCCACCCCACATCCAATCCACTAGAATTCTTGTTGGCTTCACCCACTAGACACATCCTAAATCACCCATTTCTTTTGATGACAACCATTCTAGTACAAATCCCTGTCGTCTCTCATCTTGCTTCTGCCTCCACTCCTGCCCTCTGCAATGTGTTCTCCATACAACCACCCTACTAAATTATAAAAGGGATCATGCCTTCCGGAATTTTGTTTAAAACCCTCCCATGACTCCTATTAGTCTTAGAATAAAATCATTGGCTTACAGAATCTTCTATTTCCTGCCTACCTTTCTTACCTCATGTTGTATTATTCTCTTCCTCACCATCTATAATCAAATCATTTGGGACTCAGAAAGACCAAGCTCATTCCTGACTTAGGGCCTTTGCTTTTGTTCCTATGCTTGATAAGAGGGGGCATTCCATTGTATGATTTGCGCCCACCCATCTCTATGTGACCAGCTCTTGTTTTTGGATGTCACCTCTTCATTGAGGAACTATCGTCTCTAATCTCTCTCTTAACATTGCTCTGTGACGTGGTCCTCCTGGTGTGTATCACTGTCTGAAATAATCTCGCCGTTAAATTGTTGACTTCTGTTTCTTTCCTCCAGATTGTAAATTCCATGCAGTCAGGGACCTTCTCTGCCTTGTTTACGCCTATTCCCAGTGCCTAGAACAAAGGCTTCACAGAGTGTGCCCTGATATGTAAGAGGTGAATGAATGAATTGTCCAGGTGCATGGTCCCCACCTCGGCCTGCTTCTGTGACTGCAGCTGCATTGTGAAATTTCCCATGGTAGTGAATGTAGTTCACTGTCCACTGCACTCAATTCACTCAAACACTTTGAAGATGGATAACTTGTGATGCACACAAGGTGATGTGATTCACTTTTAAGCATGTTACTAAGAGGACAGCAGAGTGGGTCAACTAGAGATCATGGGTGGTAAACAGATTACCTTTTTCAATTTCTATCAAGAATTTGTAATAGGGAAGAATCTTTTGTATTCTACTACAAGTTAATCACTAAAGGGATGTTGCCAATAAGCTTAAATTATACAGAATGGCCCATTTTTGAGAACCCTTCCTCTCAGATAATGAGGTAAAATACCTGTTTAGCTCACAGAAAGCATCCTGACCAGGCCCACCTGTGAATGACTGCAGGGAGGAAGAAATTAACACATCCCCTCTGGAGGCTGACGGGAACCAGGAAATGTTTGACTTTACTCCCTCCCTTTTTAGTATAAAAGAAGCCTGAATTCTAACTCAGGCAAGATGGTTCTCTGGGACACGAGTCCACCATCTTCTCAGTTTGCCGGTTTCCGAATAAAGTCGCTATTCCTTGCCCCAGCACCTCGTCTCTGATTTATTGGCCTGTCATGGGACGAGAAGTACGAGCCTGGACTCAGTAACAAATTCAAATAGGGGAAAAAAGTACCAGTTTATATTTTTGTTTACTAGTGTTACAAAATACATACATTTCATTGCTGTCAAGCTAGTGCTCTGAATTTTCTTCTAAGGATAAAAACTATTGTTCAAGGATGGTCCAAGTTTCAATAAATCAGTTCAGTTCATTCCAATTTCCAGCTTGTGGCCCAGATCCTTTCAAGTCCTTGACCACAGTGCTCCGTCTTTTCCCACTGGAGCTTCAACTTTCTTCTCTTACTCAAAAAGTTACACTGGGTCAGGTTCAGGTGCAATCAGGTTCAATCATTATGGGATTCATTGTAAAGCTTATTAGGAATCTACAAGCTTTCTGTTATAAAACTCAGGGCTGCACCTTCTGCTATGTGAACTTCCAAACAGTAGGAAACACATTGTCTTTTTGTCTCCAATAAAATTATGTCCCTGGAGAAAACCTAACTTTTGTCCCATATGCTCAAACTACATAGTCTGTATTGTTGCCCTCAGCAGGAATGGACACAGCTATTTTATTCATTAAGAGACAACTGAACGAGTATTTTCATATAACATAGAAAAGCTCACTATAAACTCCAAAGGACAATACAAACATAAGTTTTATCAAAAGCTGATAGAGAGCATAAAATATGTTTAAAGACTTGATCAGTTGCTTCAGAACTGATTACTGAGTTTATTATCCAGAGAGATTTCCTATTGGATTAAATTTGGATCTACATTTAACTAGAATCAATAGAAAGAATAGGAGATGTAGGAAATAAATAGTGCCACCAATATTTAGGTGTTCAGCAATAAGGAAATAAAGAATAAGGGTCAAGGTTCCTGTAACAAAAAAGTAATCTTTTCCACCTCTAATCAAATAATGCATTTTTATTGGGTGCCCATTGAAGATTAATTTCTTAGCAATGGGACCTATTAATGTGACATACCACTATCTTTAAAATGCTTAAAGCTTTATAATCCAATTCTCAGAAATTCAGAGAAGTAACTGGCTACTACTAACCAGTGTTATAGAAATACAATATCAGGTTTTTTAATAGGAAGACTTTTAAAGAGAAAGAAAAGTAAAAGACTAATTCATGACCTACTTTATTATAAAATAGGTAGCAGTAACAGTTCCCCTTTACCCAACAAAATAGTCTAACCAGTGTATCAGAGTTTTTATGTTTCCTTATAACCAGAGAAGAACACATAAATTCACATTTGATATTTTAAAACTGTTCTGACTGGGCTATGGAAGCAGAAAAATCCAGTCAAAATAACATGAGTACACATCCACGGTTGGCAGCTGCAGCAGAACTGGGAGCTTCCATTAACACTTTTTAAAGTCTCATTTACAAAATGAAACCACCACAATTTAAAAATACACCTTAGTGATAGTGGGAGGGTTAAACACATAAGTGAAGCCAGTCAGTTTCAAAAGAATTTGCTCCTTTAAGTCATGAAAGCCTTTACATTAAATTCTTCTCCTGAGACAATCACACTGCAGTAAACTCAAATAACCCAGCTGCTCCCTAGGAAAATCTAGAATAATGATATCTATGGTAGTTACGAGCACTGGTCCAACATCAACATGATATTCTGGGTACTCTTACTGCCTGACATTAGAAATAAGATAGAGACTATTTCCACTATTAAAAATTACTTACTAGTTCTATTTTAAGATTTTTTCCCTAATATGTTAGTCAACATAAAACAATTTTAATGGTAGTTCTTGTCTGAGCTTTTATATTCAAGTATGAGTATCTTACCATCTATACTAGTTCAATCATTCTAAAGTAGTCTACATATGGTAAAGCATCATATCAAAGGATTAATATGCTTTGTTCCATGGGGGGAAAATTAAGTATGACCTAAATAAACATATAGCTTGAGAGCTGATTTCACTTTCTAGTGTCAATTTATGCCACCAGTTCAGAAGAATTGGATATTGTACATGTATGTGTGTGTGTGTGCACGCAAAGCAGCTGGCATCCTCACAAATACCACACCCCAATAATATAAAGATTCAAAGGTAATATAGATTCCAAAACTGTATTCAATATTACTTAAGTGTTTCCCCAAAACATTGAAAAAACTTTATAGGTAGTGTTTTAACCAAGGATGCTCATTTTATTGCCATTTATACCTCCTGTGTTCAGCCTGCTGGATTTTGGCTCTTTCTTCCTCCTCTTGCTCTCGTTTAAATTCCAGTAATTCACTCTAGGAACAATGAAATTTTAAAATATGGTTTTCAATTAACATGGTTGTACAGAAGACACCCAAATCAATTAAGTATTTGACCTTAGCTGGTACAATATTTCATTTTTGAAACTTTTACTTGAGTACCATTTCCATGTAAAATTATTTTCTTACATAACCAGGTAGCAAAAATAATTGTGCCTTAGTCAAATAATAACTCTGTGAGTGTAAAATTGTGAGATTAAAAAGCCAATGTGCATGTTCAAGATATTAGACCATTCGGTACAACGTAACACAGAGGAAAACACAATGTGAGCCAAGCTCACCTGTGTCTTACAAAGAAAAAACAAATTAGTTCCTTAACGAATGTTACACAATACTATTTCTTGGCAATTTCTCTAAAAAAAGCTTCTTTTTCCCAACAAATTCATGGCTACTTACAAATATATATTGGACTTGATTCTGTAGAGCAATTCCAAAAACACTTTCCATTCTGGAGAATAATACTCACCTATCATTGACTGGTTACTTCATATACTAGCAGAACTTTGGACTCCCTGGAGAGGATACTTTGCTTCAAATAGGAGATCATGTTACTAAAACTAAATCTCTAGTTTCTGACATTCTGATTATATTCTTGGAAGAGGCAACAACTTCCACACTCAGTTACTGTGTTTACAGTATTAAACCAAAGAACTAGGTGCCAGAGAATCTCAATACTCAACTGCATACATCTTGAGGCAGACCAAGTTATAACCTCATGTCAAAGACAGAAAAAGGCAGAGGGAAGTTATCAGGCCCACGTCATAAGTTAGTGCCTAAGTCAAAGAGGTTTTCTGAGAGAGAAAATATTGTCACCTCTTGATAAACACATACGAACACATGTATTTTTTTAACCCCCATACTTCCATGATGAAAAGTATAAAATAAATTCAAAGTTCAGATTGACATTTTGTTCTTTTAACTATACTCAAAGGCCTTCCAACATTCTATAGTCTCCAGAATAAAAAGACTGGTTTCTTATACTGTGATAATCCAAATATGCTACTCATTAATCCCTAAAGCACATTATTTAATTCTAATTTCTACCTAGCACCAATGACAAGGGTGAAATTGGAGACTTTTCTAAATAACTGAATAATATTCATTCAGCCACTTCACAAGTACTTATTAAATACCTAGATGCCAAGCCTTGTGCTAGAGACCCATTCTCTACAATGGCATAAAGTCTTTCATTTTAATTTTTGTCGCTATATGAACATAGTTTAAAAGTCTACCAAGCAACAGTACTACTTATACTAGGCTTATATTAAAATAAAAGAAGCTCCAGTCCTCTCCCTCACCCACACAATCATGTTCAATTTTTGTGTGTGGTTTCATCTGTCATTTATCTCCTTCAAAGCATGAATATTCTATTTCTTAATTTAAAAAAAAAATAGTTTTTTTTTTTTGGCTTCCTACCATGGAGAAGATTTATATCTCTATTACTACCTCCATCCCAATTCCAACTTCCCTTCCTGGTACACCACCATCCTCATCCCTCATCCTTACAACTTTTTTTTTTAAACTTTCAGTGAGGTGGGGGAAGGGTCCTAGGGATCTTACCATTCCTGAGTTAGATTTCCAAGTCATCCTTCTTTCAACCCTAGCCCTCAGAAATACCAGCTGCCTCCAATTCCACACTTGTATCGGGACTGCTTCAACTTCAGTGTTACCACTTCTTGAAAATGAGTTCTGCCTTTTCCTGCTCTACTTTCCAGCTTGAAATTGTGCTGATATCCTGGTTTGTTTGTTTTTTTTGCTCCAGCCTCCTGGCCTGTTCTTTTGTTCTACATACTGGCTTATTGTGCCTTTTTAAAAAACATTTTGTGGGCTTCCCTGGTGGTGCAGTGGTTGAGAGTCCGCCTGCCGATGCAGGGGACACGGGTTCGTGCCCGGGTCCGGGAAGATCCCACATGCCGCGGAGCGGCTGGGCCCATGAGCCATGGCTGCTGAGCCTGCGCGTCCGGAGCCTGTGCTCCACAACGGGAGAGGCCACAACAGTGAGAGGCCCGCGTACCGCAAAAAAAAAAAAAAGAAATGAGGGAGAACCAGCTTCCCTAAATATTAAAACATATCATGAAACTACAGTAATTAAAACAATCTGATTGAGTCCAGGTAAAGACTTACTACATGGAAACACAGTTTATCATAAGTTGTTGTGCTAAACCCTTGCAGGAGAGAGAGTTCAATGAATGATGATGGACTAGCCAACTACTGTGAGAAAATTAGGACAAGATCCTTTATTTTTATATCAAAATAAATTTTATAGAGCCCTAGGATTTGAATCTAAAAGATGGAACCACAGAAGTTTCCAAAGGAGGCATGGGTAAGTTTATTTATAAACTTGGAATGAGGAAGGTCCAGAAATCATAAAGGAAAAGGATTAATAAATTTGGCTGTATAAAAATGCAAAGCTTCAACTGGGGGAAAAAAAACTTAAAAAAATGTTTATGACATACATAGGCTAATTCAATTATTTTATTCAGTCATTCAACAATATCTGAGTGCTTATTATGAGGCAGGCTTGGATCTACAAGACGGAGAAATGATAATGAACAAGACAGATGAGATCCTTGCTCCTTAAGAGTTTATATTCTGGAAAAAACGAAGCCCATGAATAAGTGAGAAAAATATCTGCCCGTAATCCTATGCTGAGGATTAAACACACTGTTGTGAGGCTCAGTGGCTGAGTTCCTATTTTAGATGGAGTCTCAGGGAAGGCCTGAGGAGGTAGCTAAAGACCTTATATAAACCAACAAGGAAAACACAACCACCAAACAGAAAAAGGCCAAGGATAGGAGGAGGAAGTTGGCAGATAAACTACAGACTGCCTGTAAATTAAACATAGTCATCATCTTCACACAAAGGATAGGAGGAGGAAGTTGGCAGATAAACTACAGACTGCCTGTAAATTAAACATAGTCATCATCTTCACACAAAGTCAAAGAAATATAAATCAAAACAATGAGATAAATTTTTTCTTCTATCACAGTGAGAGAAACTGGAAAAGTATGATAGAGAATCAGGTACATCCTAGCACTTCGGTGGAGTGTCTAAGTTAATAAAAACTAATTTCGTTTTTGGAGAGCAATAAACATTGATATGTAAAATGTACACATCCTTTGCAGAAGTGTTCAAAGATATGTATAAAAAGAGAGGCAAAAAAAAAAAAAGGAGAGGCATACTTGTATTATTGAAACAGTAAAAGTTCAGGAGAAAGTCTTAATGCACATTAACAAGGACCTGGCACAGTAAGGTAGACCATCCACACAACAGAATACTATGCAGCAGTTACAAAGAATTGATAGACTGAGGGGGGCGCCTATGGTGAGATCTCTAGGACACATTAAATAATAAAAGTTAGGTTTAGAGCAGTTTTGTGGGGGACTCTTCCATGTAAATAGAAAAGATATACATACATCCATTTTAACTCATATGCTGGTGTACATCATATTTTAGACATTTTTATGGTAAACCACATACTAAAATGCTAACTATAACTATCACTGAGATAAAAGCCTAGCGAGTAGATAGGCAGAGGAAGGAAACTTTAATATCATAAGTAGTGTTTTTTTTTTAATTTTTGAACCATGTGAATATATTACTTCCTCAAACCATCAAGAAGGTTTATCTGTGTGGGAGACCATTTCTGTTTCTTTATGCTTTCCTTTATTTAAAAATCCCAGTGGATATACAGTTTTTAATATGTAAAAATGTAAAAGAGCAAAATACTACATCATGAAGCCAAGGACTCTCAGGGAAGAAGTAAAGAGGATGGGAAGAGAAGAGCACGCAGCATCCTGTTACAGAGGCAAGGACAGGGGAGAGGAGAAAACAGAGCAGGAGGGAAGGGTAAGGGAACTGATGAGGCATCATCATGCAAGACCACTGCTCCAGGTGGCAGAAGGGGGGGCTCTAGCTCCACTGCACTCAGGATTATTATTCTATAAGCAGCAAACCATATTTACTAGGGAGAGGCTGGTTTTCCTTTGGTGCCACAAAGGATTATTTCAACTAATTAATTTGTTCTGCTGAACTGACAGCCACTGCAGATGCATCTGCATGCTTTATAAGCGTATTCCTGGTTCATTGATGCGGTTCTCACACATAAGTGCAATACCTCGTTGGACAGATACAAAATAAGTCATTCCTGTTCCAAGGACTGAGCTTTGGACATTAAGAAAATCAAAACACTCTAAGCCAGAGGGACATGACGCACAGCATCTGAGACACTGTCAAATCTTATCTCACTCAACACAAATTTGTGAAGCACCAACCGTTTTCCAGACACCTGGATTCAGGCTGAAGGTACAGATGCAAGGAAGACCCAGCTCCAACCTGAAGGAAATCACAGTATAATGAGAGAGACAGACCCAGAAACAACTGTGATACAAAACAAAAAGATGCATTACTGAATACAAGTTCAAGCAATATGACACAGGAATACGAAGGAAGGAATGCAAATGAGAGACAAGGAATAAATGTTCCTGAATGTTCGACGTTTTAAGTGCATCCATGAAGGCTCCCAGGGGAAAGAGTGTGTGTCTTCTCACTGCTCTGCTCATCTCCCTGCATTCAGACAGAGCTCCATACGGAGAAGGTACTTAAGTACCAGGAAAAACAAAATATCATCTTGGAGATGCCAAGAGCAGAAGCTCCTGTAAACACTGGTCAATGAGGACAACACTGCAAACGGTGCCACTTTCTGTGCCCACCCTGCCAGGATTGCTCTCACTGGAGGAAGGGCTGCCAGGGATCAGTGCTGGGGCCCAAGCTAACAGCAAGAAGGAAAAGGGTCACCATCTCCTGCTAGAGGTTATAGAAATCACTTCTCTGTGTTGCAGTTTACCAAAGGCTCAACTATACAACAAACAGGTGTGTTCAAGGCTGGATGCTTGAGAAAGCTGATGAGTTTAAAGGCATGTTCCAAAGCAAGGCTGTAGTAACTGGAGACTAGGATAGGGTCATTTTGAAATCAT